GCAGGTAATTTGGACAGACTGGAAGATAGTGACGGATAGCTCTTTTCATTCATTTATTATTTGAGTTAGACCACGGACTGATACCAGTTAGAGAACCATTGAAAAGTAGGGAGTACTGGACATCTGATTCATCCGAGTATGGGACACTCTGGTGTGCAGTGAGTCTATAACTGATATCACTCCGTGATCTAACTCAAAAAATCAATCAAATCCTTACAAATTAACTCTTGAAAATTCATTCACTAACCTTATATTCTTTCTGTCATAGACTTATTGCACACGATACCTTGAATATGATATAGGATAAAGATAAATTTTTTCCAGCTTTTATTAGTTAGTATAAGCTTTAAAAGATTGAAAGTAAAGGTTGAATTTATCAGTTATTTTGGAGAAGTGAATTTCAATAGATGAAATATTTAATTGGTGGATGGTTACTAGCAGTGGAATCCAGGATGCGCAATTCGTCCTATTTGAGACTAGTCACCATCCACCAATTAAATACCAACTAAATGCCCAGACATCGTTGAAGCATCTGCATAAGAAGCCGACATGTCAACCTGAGACCAAGCACTTCGGTCCAATCAGTCGACGGGAAAATCTCAAATTCAATAAAAGATGAAATATTTATTGTTTTTCTAATGAGTCTACTAGAACAGTCAAACAAAATGCTCATAATTTAGTGTCCATCTTTAAAGAATTGATATATTATTATGTATAAGGGAACAGTAAGTACAGATTATGTTTTGTTTACCTAAGGCAAAATAAGTGCCTTGTTCTATCGTGCAATATTCGGAACTCATATATACATATTAAACACGTGTAATCTTTCTTTCTACAGATCTTGAAAATGCACGCTAACTAAGAAAGCGTGCTATGGTGAAGTATCTAGAACGAACATTATTTCAAAATCTGGCGAAAATTTCTATTCAGACATTTAGAAGACAAAAAGAATTTTGAGCATAGAATATTCTTTTCAGTAACTTCTTCGTATGACTGCGATTTTACATATATGTATATGTATAGTATTAAAGAACAATTGTTACTGACAAGGATGGAGTCATTAAAATCAGTGGAATTACAGTTCAAAAGCAAATATAAGTGATAATGAGTACGAAAAGTGTAATACCAAATTGAAAACCAGATAAACCTAATGAAATTTATGCTACAACTGAAAGTAGTTAAAAAATAGTGGCTAGTGTGGGAAAAGCATTTGAGCAAACGTCTTCTAAACACAAAGTAGGCTTACAAGGGTGGATTCCATTGACTTTAGTAATACGTATAAGACGAAACTTTTAAGTGAAACTGAGATTAGTCAGAAGAGAGTTGATAACTTTCAAAGCATCGTTAACATCGACTTTGTATTCAGTGTATATAAGATGACTTAAAACAGCCTGGGACGATGTTCCGAAGTCCAGTGATAACTATGCCTAATTGTACGCCCAGTGTAAATGACCCCACAGAAGAAGCTAAACTGATAGATATACATACAGAAGGCGAAATTAAGTAGTTTATTCCTAACTTTCGAGCTTAAAATAGTAGTTTTGACAAAATGGGATGTGTGCAGCACTGGATGCTCTTTTCGCTTCATTCCTCCAACCTTGTGTTAGTATTTCACTGATTTTATCATCCAAAACCTGAAGTTTTAGGAGCAAGGTCTTCTTCGGGACTGTTGATACGTTAGCCTGACTTAGCTTTAAATTTGCATTTTTCTAATGAACGTATCTGGAAAACCATTTTCACTTAATAATTGTTTCATAATACTGAGTTCTTCAATAAGGAATTCATGGGGACAGATTGTCGTTATTCTGTGTACTAAACGTACTATTAAATTGTGTTTAAATTTTAAAGGTAAAAAGCTCAAAAATGGCTACACTCACCAGTCCATTCGGGTATTCTATATATGCACCTTTGACAGCGTCGATAGAGAGGTGATTTGGCAACTACTTCACTACTACAGGATGCCACCGACAGTTATACATCTCATCCAACAGGTGTACGACAATTCTGCATGACAAGTAATCCACAACGGGAAATTTACTGAATTCTTCGAAGTAAAGACGGGAGTATGACAAGGCTGCCTACTATCTCCAATTATTTTCTTGAATGCAGTAGACCGGATAATGCGACAGACAGCTGGTAGCGAGGAAACAGGCATAAAATGGACCCACACAAAAAACTTGGAGGATCTGGACTTCACCGATGATATATATGTCTGATTTCCCACAAACTGGAAGATATGCAAGTGAAAAGCAACAAGTTGGCAGAAGAAGCATCAAAGATAGGACTTCAGGTGAACATAGATAAAACAGAGGTGATAAAGATTTCTGGCCATCACCAACAGCAATAACAACAGAGAACAGTCAGCATAAGTGGGAGGAACCTGAAAGTAACAACCCCCTTTACCTACCTACCTACCTAGGAAGCATCATTTCAACTACAGGCGGAACAGACGAGAATATCAAAGCCAGAATCGGAAAAGCAAGACAAGCTTTCATTACTCTCAAGTCTGTGTGGAGGTCAACATCACTCACCATCAAAAACAAGATCCGGATTTTCAACTCCAATGTGAAGTCAGTACTACTTACTACACGGATCAGAGCCTTGGCCAGCTCGTCATAAAGAGCACCTCAAACAATCTACAGACCTTCATTAACAGTTGTCTTCGCTCAACACTAGTCAAGATGAGATGGCCGGCCAGAAAAGATCAGCAACAGGGATCTCCGGCAATGAGCGAACCAACTCAACAGGAACCGATTGTGAAACAAATAGACAGGAAGAAATGGAGATGGATTGGCCACACTCTGAGGAAACCATCAAGTGAGTGACATCACTAGACAAGCCATTGCTTGAGTGGAACCCGACAGAATGTGAAGCAGCGAGTTGGTCGTTAGTGGGAAGGTGACTTGGAGGAGGTCATGTGAAGAGGAGATGAAAGCATGTGGGCAGACTTGTAGCGGGTTGAAAAAGTTGGCAGAAAACCGAAGGCGATGGAGATGAGAAGCTGAAGCCCAATGTTCCTCTAGGAATTAAAGGAAATAATAATTTAATAATACTGCAATGCCCTCTTGTCTATTCATATAGACAGTCTAGAAATGAAATGCCAGCGTTTCTTTCTTTCTGGATGGTAAGACATACTGCGGATAAGGAAGATATTTGGAAAAATCTTCTTTGCTCAAACTTTTTTTCATTTTGAAATCTATCTGAGAGCATCGATTAGTTAGAGGATGTTTGAAAACTAGGACGAACGGTACATATACCGGATGTCCTAATAACAAGAGTTAACTGTCAACATTTCAGATTTACTTAATTCTATTGATAGGTTTTATGAGATTATTTTTCTTTTTTGTGTGGACCACAAATAAGTGTTGTTTACTAAAATGCTGTTTCCTATGCCTCTTCACGCAGAAGTATGCTTCACTTGAAAAGTTCTACTATTTAAAAAAATAACCCAACATACCGACCCACTGGAACTGAACTAAATGATACTTTTCAATTGTGTTACACAAATAAACTGGATAAAAGATAAATTGATTTCGTTTTTCTTCATTTTCATCATAAAATGTGTTACAAAAGGTATTAATCTACAGATATTTCTTTATGAAACCGTCGTTCTGGGACTGAAATATACTCTTGAAGAAAAGATACATGTATTACGGCTATACTTTTGTCGGACAAATGGATGCTGTAAATTGCAAAGCGTTAATTGATTTAGAAATTTTGAACTTGAATAGAGACTATGGATATGAAAAAAGCCTTACATGTACCAAAAGATATCTAAGACTAAACATGTTATCAATTTAGCCAGCTAGCTATATCATCAGAAATTTGAATGAAAATGCCTTGATGCAAAAAGAAATTATTTCTGAACAGATAGAAATAGAAAACATTATTGTTTTCTAGGTGTTTGTCTGCATATTTCCTCTTATGTACATAACTGCATATGTAAAAGATAGATATACATCTGTCATGGCGATTTATCAGTAGGAAGATTATAAGTATGCGAATAGTGAATTAATTCATAATTACAGTGCTAATAATAGAACTGTTGATAATATGCGTTGATGAGAATAACGAAAACAAAGTGTCTGCACTAACATATGTTCAGAAGATAGCGATACTATCTTATCTTATTATCTTGTTAGTTTACCAAGTGTTGATCTAAAACAGGGAAGTGATAGAATAAGCAGATTTTCAATGAATGTATGATTAGAATATCAAAGCAGTAAGAGAACATATCAAGATAGAACGCCATTTAACTAATTAGATCATTTTCAGCAAAAGTTGAGACAGTAGTCAGACAAATCTTTTTGGGACTTGCAGTTGAGAACTTTTGGTTTAAAGATTGATCATGAACTGATCACGAACTGATAACTGAACAGCTGCCTCATCTTTGTTTAGGACTATAACAATATGCACCCATGACGCCACCGGGAATCGAGCTCGAAACCTCTACATTACAAGGTGAGCTCGCAGACGCTCTAGCAATCGAGACGAAAACCAGTGACACGTCAGTTTTTACCTACACCGATTTGCGGGAAAAAGCACAACCACCAGCTAATGTAATGGGTAAATATTTGCCTTCACGCCTAAATTGGTTGACAAAGCTGGTCATGACATCCCACTATCGCCTCAGGCGACTTCCTCCAAAAGCAAGTCACAAGTGAGTATTGGACTGATTTTCAAGCGCTTGTTTTCCGTGTAAACCAGGTGAGATTAAAATGAACTTCAAACGGATTCTGACCTTGTTTCAAGGAAATGATAGAAGATGTGTTTTTGTAAACACAACGATTTAGTTGTCTAGTTTTATCTTGAATGTAATTTTTTCACAATCACAGGTGAACTAATAATTACAGAAAGTTAGATCGAATTTTATCAGTTAGATGTAATCTTTTTTAATCTAATTGTTTTCTTACCGCTTTTACAGGAATAACACTGTTCATAGAATAAAACTGCTTGAATTCACAAGACTGTATAGTTATTCTACATTAAAAATTACTTACTTTGGAATAAGTGCATTGTCTTCAACATGAGCTATGAATCGTATAAATGTATCAGTATTCTCTGAGATGGGTGGTTTGAGTATGAAGCTTTCATTCTTTCATTCCTGACATCTTCAGCCTTGACATCGATATCACTTCACACTGAAGCTCTGTAATTAAAGCATATAGCTGTGAGAACACAACTACACCAAAATGATCCACTTGACCTACCAACATTCTCTGTCTCCATGACTCTTTTCAATGAATTCAACAGTTGATAGTAGCTAACAAATGAACAAATCTCTTCCAATTTGAGTTTTTATTGAATTTATTTTCTAAGTAAGTTACATAAAAGCATGTTACTTAGTAAATTCAAAGTTCAGCCGAACGTTTTACAGATGTGAAGTGACTAAATTTCTGTAAAAAAGGAGTGGAAAAGACATTGAATAAAATTAGAGTATCAATCTGGTTGCTTACAGAACAAAATTTATCAAAGACATTGATTAACACTGTTCAACTCGTAGGTCGTAATGACCTTCTGTACTTAATTACTGATTATGAAAAATACATTTCAGTCGGATTGATGGTCTCATCGCTTAATTCAGTGTGTCGTATGAGTTTAAACATGTGCCGTGACTGAAAATCTATGACTGTTTGTCAGAAAGCCAAATAATACGGAATGTATACTGATGATTGCCCTAAACAAATGAAGTCAAACAGAATAACAATATTTGTGAACTAAAATTTTCACTAAAGCACGTGGGTCAATGGTTTTTGCCCGCCAATTTCAAATAATGGAAAATCCAGAGATATAACTTAAAACAGAATACCTTCACAACCGGTTTCTACAGTTAACGAATAAAATCGAGGCGTCAGTTCAACGGTGAGATGCACACATAAATTCGAAAAAGTCCGTTGTCAGGTATATTGTTCGTTTGCTGACTCTCAGAGTTAAAGACCCCATGATTAGATTTTAAATACCCTAGGTTATTCTTCTATAAGTGCGTCGGTGGTACAGTGGTTTGGACTCTCGCTGACCATGCACACGTTCCGAGGTTCGATCCCCTGCCGACGCACACCTGATGTCTACGGTCGGCCTGCGAAATTCGGGTTATCGATATCCATGCTGAAAATTCCATACTTGTTCCAAAAATACAGTGTGGAATCAAGTTGTAATAAAAAATAAAAAAAAATAAAAATAAGTTTATGCAGCAAAACTGCAATCAATGTTATTATTGTTTTCATTGTTTTACCCAGGTTGTTGAAAATGCTAAACTTTCTATGTTGTTTTAACTGAATCTGTTTTTTGAAGCACAAGATCTATAAATTTAACTTTTAAGTAAATTAACTTGTCTTTCAAAATTTTAATTGCAATGAATTTAGATAACCGGAAATCAAAACAGAAAGTGCTATTAATTGAACAATGTTCAGAAAATCAACTTTTTTTAATGTAAAAGCAGTTGTACACTTGATTTCCAGAATTAGCAAGCACTTCATTTTTAAGTTATGTTCACTTTCAGTTTGTTTCACTACTGTTTTTAGGGGAAGGTTAATAATCTCTGCGCATATCGTGAAGTGATTGAATAACTTAATATTAGCATTGTTGCTAAGTTACGTCTAAATTTAAACCAGATTCAGTGGAATGATGATTAAGTTTCAAATGTCACAAAGAACGAGAAGTATTCTAAAGTCCATATAGTTAAGCAGCATTTAAAATCAAACATTGCGGTGATTGATTTAATCTCTACAGTTGACATAATTGCAACTCTTGGGTATCTCTGAGATCTTTAAATTCTATCTGAAAATGTACATAATGCCATATGGCGTTGATAACACGAAGTTCATTTTCATTTTCAGCATGAAATACACTTACACAATCAATTTTCAAGAATGAACAGAATACAAGCTGCTCAATTTTGTTTACATCTTTGTTGAACATACCAGTCACAAATGTTTTATTGGTAGATAAACATATTTTTATTGGCTTAGTAATTGTTGTTTTGTAACTGGTAATTTGATTTTCGAACACTTCTTTTATTTGCTGTGCACTTGTGGTAAGTGGATAATTTCTGAAGTACATAAGTAAATTTACATAGAAGGAATAAAATTCCTGTTAAATGCAGGTAAGGGAAAAATCTAGATGCAAAGTTATTCTTGAAATTCTATCTGAAATGCTGTTACACAGAAAAAAGCACTTACTGTTAAGAACATATCAGTACAATTGGAAGAAAATGGGATGAATAAGTTTTCTCTCGATGTTTTGATTATATGAGTAAAATCAAAATATCAGAATTTGTACTCCTGGATTTCTTTTCATTTCACTTGCTTACATTAGTTAAGCATTCAGATTCATTTTTAGGTGGATCAAAGAATCGCTATCAGAGAAAATTTGATCTCTTAATTTCCAAAATCCCGGGAGGAAATACCAGGGCGTCGGTGGCATGGCGGTTAGGACGCTAGTCGACCATACAAATGGTACGGGTTTCAACCCCCGTCCGACGCACGCCTTTACGTCGCTAAGCCAGAAATAATGCTGGTAAAGACGAAAGGCTGGGCATGAGGCTAGCAAACTCAAAGCCACTAGCTTGAAGCCCTATGTTCCAGCGGGAAACGTGAAGGAAAGAAAAAAAATAAACAGTACAAAACTCAAGGAAAATTAATTGTCCAGTAAACGTGTCACTAAATAGCACAAAAATGTTCTACAAGTTGTACTTACTGCCTGAGTTAATATTTTGAAAGATATGTTAATAATGATAGTGGGAGGCTCTCCTATAAGCCTAATTTTAGTTTAATTTCTGATAAGACCACTTATAGCATAACAGAATCTATATGAATTGCTAAGAATGCATATTGTTTCATGATTGCTTTCCATATGGTGGAACTTGAAGGTTTAATTGAAGTGAAATCTTTTTCATTTTCATTCTCCTAACACTTCCAAGAGTCTGATGGATGAATAGTTTATATGTCTATATTAGAAAGTTTTATACTGTTTTTTAGTCAGAGTCACTCTACTTCACACAGATGAACGTTCTTCGACATTTATATGCTCTGTCGTTCGTTTCTAAAACTTTCTTCATTTTGTTTGTTAAGAAAACTATGATCGACTCTAGACTAAATTCTTCAGTAAATAATACTAATTAGATGCGACGAAATTGGTGCATGAAGATGAAACTGTTCAGGATTGTACATAAAGAATGATAAAATCTCTAACTGCAGCATTGGGTGACGCGTGTGTGAATCTCAGGAGGGACATGGGTTCCTTCAAGGTTGCAGATTCGCCTTGCTGACGAGCGCCAACTAACACGAAACCTAGGTCCTGGGCTTCCGGCCAATCGCCTCCAACTGCCTAATATCATCAAATCAATGTGCACCATGTTGGTAAGCCACCTAAAATGGTGGCGAAATTGCAAACGTGACTGATAGAATTCAGTCTGCACCAAAGAGAGGACTAGACGCGTCACATTAGTTACTAGTGTCCAATCAAATCGTAAAGTCTAACAATTCACTTTGTTTTCGATAGCTCTCAAAATCACCTTACTGTCTTATGAACTTTATTTCTATTATACGTTTGTTTGGAATGCCTTTCTTTGTATTGGTGGCACAGCGGCAGAGTGCTCCCCCACCACACAGGTGGTTCGGAGTCCAATCCTCGTCCAGCGACGCACACATTTACCTCGCTAAGGCAGTAATAAGACTTGTTAAGAGGGAAGGTTAGAGATGGGGCGAGCAACCGAGCCTCTAGCTCGGAACCCTTCGTTCCACTGTGTCCGTAAAGAAATAAAATTAAAAAAGAATAATGTATCTATGTAAAGCAGGTTTTTGAACATAGGGAATAAAAGCGATCAAAATTTGATTAGCCTACGTGATCATTAGAAAATAAAGCAAACTGCAGCAATAAAAGTGCACATTCAAATTTATGAATCAGAAATTCTAAGAATTAAGTTAGGTAAAAATAGCTTTTCCCTTAAATGAATGAAATAAAAGAAAGCATTCCATACTAATGTACATGAAATTGTAACGTCATACGATAATTTTAAATTTTAATTATGAAAAAATGTGTTTGTCTATGCGATTAAAAACAATAATTAGTTTGCTTAAATAAACATCATTTCTTCAATAGATCAAGAAGACAGATGGTGTGAAACGTTTAGTCCAGTTCGTAATTGAATGTACGACAAATATTATTTTCACTGTCATCTGGTTTATATTTATGTCCTGTTATGTGTTTGGAAATAGGAACAGGAAGAATATTTCGTCCTTAACTACTTACACAAGGAATTTTTAACGAAAACTACAGGAGCTTGATATTCGACGTTTGCTTGTACTTTCTGTTCATTACATTAACCGTCTACTTCATTGTTATCTATAAGTTCAAATCGAAAGGTTATACATATATAAGTGGAAAACCGATTTTTGCCAGGACCGATTTATAAACATAGTGTGTGTAGACTCAATGAACTAGGATTCAGTAATCAATCTCTCTCTCCACCTACATAGATTACTTCTTAGAACCTTAACCCTTTCCCACCCTATTGTGTGGTTGTGTGTTAATGCATTTAGTACAATTGCTGAGCTTTTTTCTAAATTACTTATCTTCTCGGGGTCAACCATTCTTATCTTAGCTAAATTCTTATGTTCTGACAATCTGACTACCCCTGACCTACTAGTTTGACCAATATAGTTGACCCCACAGTCATTGCATGGAATGGTTTTGTTTTTACGAGTTGATCACGGATTGATATCAGTTCGAGAATCATTGAAAACTATGGAGTACTGGTTATCTGTTTCATTCTAGTTTGAGAATCATCGACAGTGCGCACCAACCCATTAATTCTACTGAACTCTAACATAGACTAAAGAAATAAAAGATAGTGAAGAGAAAATGATTAGTTTTGACATCATCAGTTTAAATACAAAAATACATTTAAGTACGGATATAGAAGCTGTCAGGAACTAACCCATTTCCAACCAATATTTGGACTAAGAATTACATTATAGGTAGAAAGCATCATACTAGGAGTATTTAACTTCCAAAGAAAAATATAAAAACACACTGAAAGAGTTCCTCGGGGGTCACTCATATTCCCAAAAGTGAGAGATGTATTTGTCAATGGTTGTGAGGAGTTGGAGGATGAAACGTTTAGCCCGGCTTCCAAGGTATGGTAACAAGTTTAAGGAGTTAAAAAGACGGGATATAAGTAGGTTCTTCGAAAACGTTAACTCAGCGGTAGATGTGGTTCGAATAACTGATGAATTGGAAAGTCACAAACAGGATCTTCCGATACTAGATTGCACCATACAAAGAAACAAGATGGAAGGTTAACCACCAGTGTTTAAGGAGAACTCACACATTCACACTGATATTTAGATTTCGGTTCATACAACCTCACGTCACCGAAAATAAGGTTAGCAAAGTTTTTAACTAGAAAAGAAAACCAATTAGTACCGAATGAAATCTACTGCTAGCAATTATACATTTAAGAGAAGCTACGACACCTAATATATCACCCCAACAGATTAGTCAGAATGAATGTAGGGAGGGGTAAGGATAAAATTACCGATAATAATGGTGACATGAATTATCAACATTCAAAGAAGGATGGTAGCACCGAAAGTAAGAAATGCGAAGAATCAGTGGTACCAGCACGCAAAGAAAGGACTTCTGAAATCATACGTAGAATTTTTTACAAATGGCATCGAAACCCACAAAACTGTTTAGAAAAAGATTATGTCAATTAGAGGATCCAATGGGCTCAGCTGAAATAAAACAGTATAAATCATGTAATATCTTTTAATAATTGCAAAGCTAAAGCAGTAGGCTTGGATCAGTAATATTAGTAAAGTGCGAAAACGGAGAAATCTAGATTAGTTTGCCCTAATAAGATAAGAAACCTGGAAAAAGCTCAATTATAGAACTGCATGCATTTATACACAAACATACAGTGTGATGAGGTAACAGCCTTAAAATTTAATGTAACAAGATGGAGGGAAAGATCGATAACTGAAACTTTGTCCGTCAAATTAACTTATAATTGGTGCAGTAGGAGTGATTCAGCAGAGGTTTCGGACATCTGGAAAATTTTGATATCATTATGACGAATAGGAAGGAAGAAAGAGAACTATAATGGTCAATTTTCGAAGTTGTGTAGTGGCAGCTGATATTTGTCCTAAACGTCATGCACTAGATAATGGTTTCACCGAATGATACATTCAGTAATATAGAATTACAGGTAATTCAGTTAATTCTCACAGAATCACAGGAATAAATTCGCAGTCAATCCTGTCAAAGCTGACAACACTATATACTTTTACCTGTAGTTGATGAACTAATCTAATATTTAGTTGGAATAGCAGGATATTGACTAGTGACTGATACGAGTAGCTGGGATCTGCTAACATTCATTAGTATGATTTGCTAGTCACATTGAAGTAGTCTAACAATCTCCCTGTCACTCAACTCATTCATTGTTTAGGTCATCCTTCTTGTACTTAGACTGACTCAGCTGAAGGAGCTAAACTGTTTCAAGTTTCTTTGAATATTTTGAATTTCCGAAAACACTTTTGTGGATTTTTAATCCTATATGTATCATTTTCAAGTGAAGAATTCTCTTCTTAGTATAATTAGAACTCCTTAAATCGTTTGGTGAACCTCGCGTCAGTTGACAGCTCAAATTAAAAAGGAATTTTGCAATAGCGATCATTATGTACTATGCTGACACTATTTTGAAAACAGGTATCCTAATATACAAATACTAAGTTTAATTACTGCATTGTGTCACTGGTTGTGTTCTGTGTATTCGCCTTTCCTATTCCAGAAATCAGTTTCGTTAGAGTGACGATTATTCACTTATTTAGTTTTACATTTTCACTTTTAAACCTTTTACTATGTATGATTGAAATTTATCCGTGGCAGGCTTCTGACAAGTGCAATTTATTGAATGCCTCAGAAATAAGTGTAACTGGAGAAGGAGAAATTTAGTTGCCTTCTTCTGCAATCGCCTCTTCGATTCAATAGCAGAATGCTCATCAACCACGCTGGCGCAATGGGTTAGTTTCCTGGACCCGTCAATTTACTAGCCCACAGTATTATCTCAAAGGATGAGAGGTTGAGTGTGATGCTAGCAACCCCAACCCGTACAAACTACACCAGTACAAATGGCAGCTAAAAAGAATGGAACCTTATGTCCCACTCGTAATGAAAGATATAAAGAAAACTTTGCTCGCGATAAAATTATATTACTGTGTGTAAATACG